CACCTCAACAGAGATATTTCGAGGCCCAGGTACTTGACACGGGCAGCGATACGGACTGCGACACGAGCAAACTGTCCGTGTCGCGTGCGCAGACAGGTTTTTAAAGCTTGCCTTTTTGGATAAAGAGAAGGGTTTTGGACATATAAAAAGGCATATTTACCTTATTTTGAGAGGAGGAACGTGAATACGCTGAGAAGAGAGCCCTAAAGCACACAAGAGAAGCAATTGAGGAGCAAAAAGAGGATCAACTACGAAGGGATCAAGGAAATTGAAAGATCGACGAGATTCCTAGTTTTTATTTCTTCTTTCCTCTTGAACTTTTATTGATCATGTCGATTTCTAATATGTCTATGTATTTGAATTCGAACATGAGTGGCTAGATTTATTGATTCTAAGACTCGGTAGTAGATTAATATGTTGGGTTTTGGATTATTTATTTATAATTAAGTGTTTTTCTTTTGAACCCTATTCAAGTTTTATGTTGTTATTCCATGTTTACAACTTAATCAATTCTTTTACATGTTTGACAATATTGTTCATAATTCGAGAGATGAGTTCAATATTAGGTCTTTAATATTTGACATAATTTACTTGCTTTAATCGAGAGATTAGTAGGTAATTGTGAGGATATTAGATCTTTTAATCTATTTGGAGTTGAATTGCATGTGTTGAATGGAGACGCTAATATATGTGATTTAATCTACGGCTTTATCGATCTCGAGAGGGGCGATAAGCTAAATTTGTGATCGTCTTATAGGGTAGATAAAGAAAACATTTAATTGTGATATTTCTGAAGAATCCTAACTGTTAATTGAACCCACAGTCTTAGAATCTCTCATTCCCATATATTTGTCTTACGTGTTCTTTAGTTTATTCATTGTTCTTGCGTTATTTGATTTGATTTATTTTCTTAGTTTAGCTAATTCATCCAATTACGATCGTCTAAATAAAGTTGACATTATCATAATCTAATACTTGATATATTAATTATTTGGTCTCTTGGGATACGACATTGCTTGCCACATACTACGAGCGAAGTCGTACACTTGCGGTCGAGTTTTAAAACTATAGGCGAACACCCCCAACAGGAGATTAGAGACGGGAGCTGCTCGCAACATGAGAATCAAGGTGCTCCCGCTCAGGCTTACAGAGGCCAACGGCTCAATCTAAAAACACAAACGCTGAAACAACACAAACACAGACATCCAAACACAAACAACCAAACAACAGAAACATTAAACACAAAAACAAAAAAAAATACCCAAGCCCTTCCACAGAAGCATATCCGAGACGAACCGACAGACACCAAATCAACCCCAGAAGAATCTCTCAGCCCAAGAAAGCCGACCCCTCCACTGCCTAATCACCTAGCTGAGCCGGATCCCACGCGCATCAAGATACCCTCGAAATGCTGATTCTCCCCGAAACGCAACTCCAGAAAGCTCCCAGATGCCGCAGTATCGAGCCGACTAACACCACTAGCAACCCTATACCAACGGCAAACACACCAAGACCCCGCGCCAGAGAGGGTACCCAGCCATCACAGTTCCTGGTTGACTAACACCACTAGCAACTCCATACCAGTCGGTGAGTACCCCAGGACCAACACCAGAGACCTGGGAAGGGAGAAAATTTGAAGAAGCCGCCCTAGCCACTCCGGCCAGAAGCTGAGAGACGCCGGAGCCGCACCCAACCCCTTCCAGCAGCACCTCACCTCGCCCAAAACCCACCATTCACTCCCCGAAGTACTTGTTTAACCTTAGTTAATGAAATCTATACTTATATAAAATGCCATCCTATTTACTAGAAATAGTAGACAGAAAAGTCAAATGTAATTAATGCATTCTATTTCTATCAAGTATTTTATTTAATATATATATATATATATATATATATATATATATATATAAAGTCATCTTATTTACTAAATTTAATAACAAGAAAAGTCAAAAAATAATTTATGCTTTTTATAACTTTTTAATTGTATTATTATTTTATAGCTAAAAAACCAGTCTGCATTAATTTCATCCTTCATTGATGTGTTTTGCACTAAAATCGGACAGATAGACTTCAAGTAAAAATATGTCTCATTTTAAATTTAAATTTAAATATTAAAATTTCTGAGCATTTTGTTACATTAAAATCCTGAATGAATTGTTTGCCATAAAATCGGACCAAATAATAATTGCATAGAAACTCATGTAAAAACATGTCTCATTTAAAATTTAAAATTTTAAATTCCTTATCATTTTGTTACATTTCCGAATGATTTGTTTCCCATAACATCGGACGGGATTAATAATTGCATAGAATTCAAGTATGATTTCGAATTTATATCAAGGATGTTTAATAAATGCACATAATTTCAAAGATGTGTATTCATTATAAAAAAATAATAAATAATAAATAAATTCTAAAATAACATTTGTGTATATTTTGTAAAATGTTTGTATAAAATGTTTTACTTTAAATTTATTTTCATAATTTAAATTAATTACATTAATAAATAATATTAATATATATTAAATATTTTAATTACATAAAACAAAAAGAAGAAGAAGACTACATCTATAACCTGTATAAATAATAATGATGACATTATATTACAATAAATTTTATAATAAACTAATATGAGTATTATACGAGGAATAAGATTACGTAAAATTGTTATTTTTCTTATATCAATGAATTAATATACATAATAAAATCAAATTTATGTTATTCTAAATATGTGAGCTAGATAATATATTAATTATTTGCGGGCTACCGCTACCAGGCTCAGGTTTAATGTCCCGACAAAAAAAAATGAAGTTGACGAAAATAGGTAAAAAATAGATGATCAAACTCTATCACTTTTTAGGTCTGAACGGATAAGCACTATGGTCCATTCATTTAATATCTCCCGTGAATCGCACGAGCTACTTAACGGACAAGCTTTGTGGAAATGACTCATTTAATACTTATGTCTCGTGCATCGCATGGGCTACGTACTAGTTATTTTATAATATATGTAGTATTATGTTTTATGGAAAGACGTTATTTGAAAATAGCAAAAATGTTGTTGGATTCTTACTGATTTGATATATATACAAATTATTAAAAAAATATTATTTATTTAAAATTTAATAACTTTAGATAATTATCAAAACTTTAATGCAAACTGTATATTAGTGATTGAGAAGACATTCAATAAATTTATAACTATATCCATGTATTATTAAATAAAAAAAATTATAGGTAAACTAAAACACTTTATTTCTTGTGTTACTTAATATATAAATACTTTGGTTGTATATAAAATTCATTATGTGGCAATTTATATACTTTTTGCATATAAAAATAATCATTTAATGCTAATAGTAGGCATATAAAACAAAATATATTTATACGAAAACTTTTTCTTAACTTTTTTTTTCTTCTTTTTATTTTATAATAATAGTGAGAGTTTTTCATCGTATTAATATACCATGTCGATTTAATTATTAACTGACAACTCTTATTTTTTATTTAATCCTTTTAGCTCATAATTAAAAGGGAAAAATATAATTATCATATATCACTTTGGCTGAATGCATGTTTGAAAATTATTAAAATATCAAAATCTTAAAAATATAAAATAAAATATAAACTAAAAAGAAAAAAAATTAAGCTAAAAGTGCTACATGCAATTGCAATAATATATATATATATATATATATATATATATATATATTAAGAATAACCGTTTACAAAAAATAGTAGCAATAAAATAGGTTAGAATTTAATGCAACCTATAAATAGTAAGTTTTATTATTTTTCTTATTTTTTCTTTAAAAATCATACAATATTAAATGCTACCTTAAATTTTGGGTTTCTGTTCATTTTATTATTTAAAAAATTCGGCTAAGGTCAATTAAGTTTGCATGTTTTTTTTTCTAGAGACAACGAACAACATTAAAATCTCGGTTTCTATATTTATAAAATCTCAATTCAAAATATAACAGAAGTTTTAGAATCTCGGTCGTTATATTTGTGACTTTGAAAAAATACTGAACGCTATAAAATATTCTTTAAACTGCATAATCAATCATAAATATTAATTTTTTGAAAATTACTATGTTTATTTTTTATTAATATGCATAAAGTAAAAATAATTAATTCATCTTTAGATATATAATTTATAATCTTAATATACTATCATTTGGTGTAAACATTTATTATATGAATCATAAAATATTTTTAATTCATAAATTAATACATTTAAAGGAAATAAGGAAATTTGTTTAGATCAATCGGGTGATTGAATTAGGGTAAACTCCAGGTTGATTGAATTACTTTTACGTGATATTTAAAATAGTAAAAAAAAAAACTTGACACAACTTGGTTGGTCCCAGGTGACTAACTTATGTATCAGTTTGACCAGACCAAATCAATTATTGAACCTAAATATAAATTTTAATATTGAAAATACTTTATTACGTGAATGTGATGTAGTCCAAACTTCAAATAATCATTTTAACAATACCTTTATGACAACATGTTTAATGATTTATGAATATTTTTATATCATTTTATAAATAAAATTTTATTATAATGTTTATTAATGTTTAGTAAATATAAGGTTTTTAAAATCAGACCGTCAAATAATCAAGTTATTTTATTATAATTTGTGGTGTTCAAGCGAACTAGATAGGTTATAACAAACCAGTTCTCGGTCCACCCGGTCGGACTGTGTCCAACCCAGTTTAATTTATAAACAATGAATAAATCATGATTAATGTTATTTATATATTTAATTTAGAGTAAAATCGTGATATAGTTTTCCCGTGCATTGCACGGGCCACGCACTAGTGGTTATTAAAAAAATAAAACAAAAATTGTCGACAAAGTCATTTGGCCAATTTCAATCTTTGATAGGGTCATCTAAATAGAATGTCCCTTAGCTGCTGGTAACCTCACCCTTATTACACCACAAACAAGCCTTTGGTTCATCAGAACATGTAAACTGGAAAAAAAAAGTACTAGATTCTAACAGCATTTAACGGCCTTTTCCCCTGCTGATAGTAGTTAAAATAAGTACTGGGATAGTCTCTTACTTTCTTGAACAGACTCGGATTTTGTTCATCGACAAGCTCCTCCAATGGCTGGATATCTTTATCAGGATCCGGAGAGCAGAACACAGCCAATGTATTCCTCTCGTTGTCCGGGTTTGTAACTGCTCTGTGTATAGGGCTTATAAATATCCCATTGCTTATTATCTGCAGAGAAAATACAACAGCATAATAAATAAGTAAATAATATAACAGAGAATGCTAAAAATCCTGCAGCCTTATTTATTTATTTATTTTTGGCAACAAGATGAGTTTAGTTCAATTTGTCCAAGAAAATGTCAACATAACATAGAAATCAGTAGTTATAGAGGTACTTTTAATACTGTCCCTGTAAGTCTTTAAACACAGTCACAAACACACACACACACACACACACACACACACGCACCCCTCTTGAAACTACAAAGGTCTGTCTGTATTCACATTACATAAAGGTGCATTTTTGTAACACAAACAGTATACTTTCATTCCTCGAGCAAATTTCCAGTTTTCAAATATGATGGGCTGTACTGTCATTAGGCTAAGCTTCAGGTATAGTTTCATAATTAACAATAACATTTATACATATACCTCTAGCTGATCCCCTATGTTGACGACCAATGCATGCGGCATTATAGGAACCCAAAACCACTTATCGTCTCTTAGAAGCTGAAGGCCTTTTACGTCTTTGTCCTGCAGGAGTATAGTTATGCCGGACCCATCAGCATGCGGCTTGAGCCCGAGAACGAGATCGGGCCTCGAACATGGAGGATAGTAGTTGAATCTTGTGTACATTGTCCCTCTTTCGCCGAATACATTCACAAAGGCATCCTCTGATAAGCCTAGTGACCTTGCAGCTGACTTAAGGAGTTGTCCTTGAAGCTGTCTCATCTTTGCTATATACTCGCTAAACATTTCCCTGCACAATGGATAATGATCCTTCTTAAGATAGATGATAAATCTGAAATGATTCTGCAAAAAAATAAATAAATACATAAATAAGAATGGAAAAGCAAGGGGCATTTGATTTGGATTTATAACTTTTATTTTTTTCTTAGCTTGATATTTATCACAAATTTAGCACAATCTAACTCCAAACATACATAATGGAATGTGTGAAAATTAGAAACATTAGTCACAGCAGCCAACAAAAATGAAAAAACTGACTTAAAAGCGTCAAACAACAAGCTCGTTATGAGCAAAGTGGTCTTACCTTCAGTTAAAATTGAGTTTTAATACATAATAAGTTACGATATTTATCCAAAGCACTTACCTGAAAGATTCTGGATTTTCAGGCCAATATTGGAGTTTTCGCCGGTCGTCAGGACTTACTAATAAATACAACCTATCAGTCCAATCAAGAGGCTGGTTCTCGAAAAGGACCAAATCATTACCATAGCCTTCATAATCATCCCCTGCCCTTGCATATTTTTGCTTCTCTTCCTTTGGCAGGTGAAAAAATTCCCTGGAAATTCTGCGAACTTCATCCAGAAAAGAGTTATCCATGCCATGATTAACTGCCTGGCCAAAAAAATCAAGATTTCGTTACAGTTTAACTTTTTTTTTCTTTTGCTTTGACTTGAGCTGAAAATTACATGGATATGTGGGAACATATATGTCAGAGGTATGGAGAGAACAACGGTCCTATGAAATATAAGCTGCAAAGAGTAATCTTAAATTTAACCCAAGGAAACAGCTCAGTTACGGAATACTTTAACATGTTAAAGAAGCCTTGGGGTGAGTATGCTTCTATAGCACCAATACTAGCTATGACAATCCGAAGAATCAAATCATGCTTTTGTAACTCACGTTGTGGCCACAGAAGTTCTTAGTATTTTCGGGTGCAGTGTTGGTCGGTTTATGAGGGAGTCTTTAACTTATAATCTCAAACTATTTTCGGGTGTAGTGTTGGTAGATTTACTTATGAAAGAGTTTTGAGGGTTAGTGGGACGCTCCCGTAAAACTAATTTGTTTAACCCACAACCCAGAAAACTAATTTGTTCAAATAGTCGTTTCCGCTTTTAATTGTCTATTCACGTGTAAGAAATGGAGAGGAAAAAACGAGTGTGGTCCCACGCATATGAAGCGCACCAAGACAGTAACAGTCCAAATGAAGCCCAAGTGAGGTTTCATCCCAAAACCAATTGGTGGAAGGAGGAGTAGCCCACTAGACTTATAAACTAGGACTATTTTACATAAACGGTGTGAGACAACTCACAAGTGAATATTCTAATATCGCGTTAACAGAGAACTGTAACAACTTCAATTGGAGAATGCTGACAACTATTAACTACAATGCTTACCAAAAACGGACACGATACTATAAAATTCTCAAAATTTATAAGAACGTGACAAAACAGACCATATCATTAGTATTATGATTATGATTATGATTATTGTTATCATTATTGTTACTACAGTCAGCGTCAACCTCAATAAACATGGTTCAAACAGCTTGAGCCCAACAACCTAGTCAACAAGGCTTCAATTAGGTGTTTTTATCCTCAAACACACACAGAGAGCTGACACACAATCTAAATGAGGAACACAACATAAATCATCTTACAATACACACGCAACCACTGCCAGGTGTGCGACTCAAGTCGACCAACGGATTAATCGGAGCATAGCTCCGGATACCGTGGCTGACTACCAAAAAAAAAAAAGATTGGAAAAGAAAACCTGGAAGCATCCCCAAGACTCGAGAGCAGATCGAAGCTGAGCATCCATGGCGGACGACGAGGAACACAACTGGGCAACATCAATAACAGGGATTTGGGCGGTTAAAGGGGGATTGGGGTCGAGGGGCCCATCATATAAATCACTACTATGACTGTCTCGCCAGATATACCGCTCAGCGGGCAGCTCAACGCCATTTTCAACCAGCTCTTGAACACTTGTGTACAAATTCTCGGCCATGTCAGTCTGTAAATTTGTTCGATGAAAATGAAATTTTAGCGCAGCTGAGAGCAACGGATGTTTTGGGATGAAAAATGTTTCTTTGAAAATTTTATCTTTTGTAGAATTAATTTAGACGAGGACAAGAAATTTGGAATCTATGAGTTGACTTGACGGTAACAATTAAATTAAATGGAAAGATGGGATAAATATAAGAAATATTTGTTGTTTCTTCTTATATTATCTTATCTTATGATATTATTGAACATTTTGTCCACCGACAAGATTTTTCCACACTTTCTAGAAATAAACAATTTTAAACTATAGTTTTAAACTATAGTTTTCTATTTTCGATAATTCGTGTTCGGTTTGATATCACCTAGTACACGTCGAGATGTATTTTGTTTGAAAAAAAAAGGGTTTAATTAGACATTTATATAAAAAAAAAATTCTAAGGGTATTTAATTGAGATTTTAAAATAATTATTTTTTTTTTTAATTTTGGTGTTTTTTGTGGACTTTATAATTTTTTCTTGATTTTAGTTGACTTTTGGAGACTTTCATAAAATTTTCATTAGTCATTTTCTAAAACTTATTCAGATTTTTATATACTTTTTTTTGTTAGAACTTGAATGAAATATTAAACATAGCATAATAACTAATATCAAGAAGAATAAATATAAAAAATAGGTATTATATATTAATCCTCTAAAAAAATATGAATCAACTCATAGTTATGCGAAATGAGTTATTCACGAACAAATTGTTTAGGGTTTTAGCTTTATTAAACGAGCAAATTGGTCTGAGCTTCAACGAGTCGAACTCGAGCAACGTCTTATATTGGTTTGTTAAAAGAGCACAAGCTATGTTACACATCTCTGCTACAATGACACTTATAATCAATTCAAATTAAGATATATTTATCTAATTATTGATTGATATTATTATTATTATTATTATTATTATTATTATTATTATTATTATTATTATTATTATTATTATTATTATTATTATTATTATTATTATTATTATTATTTTGTGCATTGCTGCAATATTAGATAAATATTACTAGGATGTAATTTTACAAGATATAAATATTGTCGAAAAGCAGTAATTATATCATAAAAAGTTATCAGTAATACTAAAAATAATTTAATATCAACAAATAAACGGGAAAAGTGCCCCAAGCCACATTGTGTTATATGAAATTGGCATGTTACTACTCTGTATTTTAAAAAATATGTGACAATGCCTCGTATTTAACTAAATGATGAACAAGCTCCCTATTTCCATTTTTTTGGTTAGTGGTAAAATTTTTGCAAAATCCCCTGCAATACCCTTTAAATTTTGTTTTTATATATTTATGGTAAATTAAATTTATCACGATATTTTGAAAATATCGCGAGAAATTTGCCTAAAAAAATTGTAGGCCACGAAATTTGAACATGGGAATACATGGGAGAATAGAAGCATTGCTACCACCCCATCAGTCTAAGTTGTATGCTATATTAAGGAACGTTTGATATATATAGACATTACATATGTATATATCAAATTAAATTTAAAAGATAATGTAAAATATATTAAAATATATTAATCTATATAAATATAAAAAGGTTTGACATTTACTTGAAATAGAAATAAAAATCCTGCCCAAATAATTCATTTTTACTTTTTATAGTAATTTTTTAAAAAACTTATAAGAATTGGCGGATAGTTTTTGAATTTCAAATTAAAAAATGTCAATCAAATCTTTGTAAAAAATAAATTTGGTCAAACATGCGGCTCACTATTTATGTGTGCGGTATCATTGTTACAAACCGAAAGTAAATAAATAAAGTAATATATTGTATTGATTTGTCTGATATCGAACTACAAAGGAAATTAAATAAATAAATTTAAATGCTATACAAAATAATCAGGTCCACTCAAAACAAAATATCGTCCATGATCCTCGAAATTCCTTTGTGAGTAACCAAATCTGCAGTATAATCACAAGTATATCAAACAAATATTTATATTAAAAAAGACGACTTATTACGGCGTATAACCAGGAAATTTAATATCAAGTTATTTTTACCAAAATATACATATATTGTGATGATATATGCAGAAAATATCCGCAGGTACCGTGTTTATTTGTTAGATCCACAAAATTTTAGAAATTCATATATATGCAACTATTTAACCGTTCATATATAAACACCTATTAGATGCATATCTTTCAAAATAGAATATATCAACTATTTTCACCCGGGATATAATTTTAACGAGAATCATATCGGAATGAATATAAATATAAATTGTATATCGTCAACAAATAAAAAGATCTTGCAGCCTAATAAGATTTTTTCATCATGCCTATATTGTTGTAAGTATTTTTACCGGAGTAGAATCGAAAGATTCAACACCGGGTCGTAT